GAGAGACTCAGAGGTGGAAAAACACGGCCTTGAAAGTTCATGGGAGGGATGTTTTTATCAAGGCAAAAATTCCAGCTGTTAAGGGCTTTATCAGGCTAAAAAAGCAGCCATCTGCAACTGAAGTTGAGGTCATAGCCAGGGAGTAAATGTGGAGAGGGAGGCACAGAAGAAATATCCCAAAGTACTACTGCCCGTATCCAGAAAGAGAAGGCAGCGTGTTCCTGGGTGGTGTTTCCTGCAGGGTGGAAGGGTTCAGGAACCACTGCTTTGTTTCACTGCCCCTTTCGAAGCCAGGGGGTTTACTCCCAGTAGTAGGAAGCACATCCAGAAGCCTAACTTTTGCTAGAGTGCTCCTCGGATGTGATTGCTGATGCAATCTCTCTTTCATCACCTGTCCTCTCCTAACTGCCAAAAACTGCTTCGTGCTGCTTGAAAAAATTGGGGTTTGGCATAAGAGGAGTTTCTCCTCCGTTGTGTACCACGATGACTATTCAATGAGCTTGTCCAATACTGGAAACTCCTAATTCGTGTATCGCGACAGTCTGTGGTGGGATTTCCTCATCTTTTTGTTTTTATTTTTACATCTCTGCTCTTCCCGTTGATGTGTGTCCCCACGAAAACTGCCCTTTGTGGACACACAGCCTTCCCCAGGAGATCACTCCACAAGGACGGGGTGACAGCAGGAAAAATGACTGTGTCCATCTTTTTATTCCGCTCCTCGAGTGCCACTTGTGCAGCAGCAAGTGACTCCTTGGTGGTTCTGCACAAGCAGCGTGCCGGGGAACGCGTCGCCCACGTTCTGCGTGGAATATTTAATTGGCAGTTTTTCTTTCAGTCTGTCTGTGTACAAGTTTTCTAAACTTTATTCAGTTTTTTTACCTTTGAAAAATTTGGTTTTACCCTAAGAAGTTGCTGAATCTCTGCGCGATGGAGCAGTAAAAGCAGCACTGCAGGAACCACAGTGCAGAATTTGGCCCAGCTGAAGGTGTTTCTAAAAGAAACTAAGATCTTGCGCAGGGATCCGGCCCCTTTTCGGAGAGCAGCTCCAAAGTGAAGAGAGCTTGCGTTGTGCCGCAGGGAAGGAGATACACCTCGCTGCTTTAATGTTGCTTTCTCATTTCAGAATCCACACGGGTGAAAAACCTTTTGTCTGTGATGAGTGTGGTGCCAGGTTCACTCAGAACCACATGCTTATCTATCACAAGCGGTGTCACACAGGTAAGGCTCGCTTTTGCCAGGCACTGCGTAGAGGAGGAGGAGGAGGAGGAGGAGGAGGAGGAGGCAGCCTGCTGCGGAACCAGGAGATCTTGTTTGCGCTCGGAAAACGTGTCTTTGGTGGTGGTGGGTTTTACATCAAATCAGATGTTCGCATCCCTGGGCATGATTTTACTGAGAGAGGTTCCCATAGGTGACTAGGCAGACAGTGGAGAGAGTAAAAGGAGCTGGTTAAAGAGAAAAGGAGTTCCCATCTGGGTGGGATCCGACGTCTGAGGCCGCTTTGGATAGTCTGTAATATCCAAAGACTGTCATCAACAAAAGGTCTAGCTGAATTCTGAAAAGTTATTTCTCTGTGAGTCTGGAACAGTTAGCCCAAGGAATATAACACAGCGGTCTTGGCTTATCCTCATCTGCAAAGAAATCTTTTTAAGGATTTCCCTCGTAGTATAAATCCGTGGTTTGAACTGACCTTTCGTGCCACCTGCGAGTTGCGTGGGGTACTCCTGCGTCCCTTAATTGACCAGTCTTAAACCGGTCTGCGTTCTGCTGGTAACTCGTCCCTAAATGTAGAGAGCAGAAAACATGAAAACTGCAATGAAAACAGCACGTAATTCCAAACTGTGCCTAAAATTGGCCGCTTCCAGGTGGGAGCCTTTCCTCGGAGGTGTGCAGCGCTGGGTTTGTGAGGAGTCAGCCAGAAAACTCGCCAGGCGGTGAGCAGCCAGCTAGCTGCAGATGTGTCACACACCGTGTAACGCGTTGGTGTCACTCTCCTTTCTGCCCTCGCTGTAGGGGAGAGGCCTTTTATGTGCGAGACGTGCGGGAAGAGCTTCGCCTCCAAGGAGTACCTGAAACACCACAACAGGATCCACACGGGATCCAAACCGTTCAAGTGCGAAGTTTGCTTCCGAACGTTTGCGCAGAGGAACTCGCTGTACCAGCACATAAAAGTGCACACAGGTAAGAGGTGCTCTTCTGGTTGGAACCAAACCACCGCGGTGTAAAGCTGTAGACCTCACAGGTGCATAGTTCAGACACGGAATTTCTCAACCAGGATTTCCCAATCCTTCAGTTCCTACCCTGCTTGCACGTTCTGATTCCTGACGCAGTGTGTTCTTTCCTCCACTTCCCTTCTCCTGCTGCTTCCTGTGCTGCTTGCTGAGTTCCAGCAGTTCTCTGGAGTACCCCAAGAGCTGTGCAGATCCTGTTCCTGATGCTGCCAGGATTGTTGGTGACCGAAGAACTGTGTCTGGTTTAGCTTTGAGCCACGTGCTGCAGTGCTGATCTCGTCCTTGTCCGCATGCCCACCTCTCATGTTTGCGTTCTCTCCTGCTTGGATTTTCTCTTCAGGGTCAGTTTGATTCCCACCTGCTCCTCTGGTTTTGGGTAGAAAGCAGTGACCATAGGTACTGTAACACTGACTTTCCAGTGGTGCTGTCAGTGTCACCTGGGCTTTGTGTGTCCTGGTTTGGACTGGGACAGAGTAAGTTTCTCTTTTTAGCAGCTGGAAGAGCTCTCTGGTTTGGTTTTAGTCCAAGATTCGTTGTGAGAAGAACGTTGATAGCGCACTGAGTTGGCACTGAGGCCTCAAGGACATTTCAGCTTCCCGTGTTTTTGCCCATGTGCAGGAGCACAGCAGGGTGGGGGAAGCACGGCCGGGACAGAGCCCACAACTGCCTTTAGGATTCGAGCTTAGATTTAGGATTGAGGGCTAATTTGGCCAATGAAGCATTCCATATGCTGCAACATCATGCCCAGTGTATAGACAGATGAGGGTTGACCGAGAAGAAGGGCTTTTGCCCTTCCAGGGTCTCTCTCAGGCTCTCGGAGCACTCAACGCTCCTTCTCTTTTGCTTTTGGGCCTCTGGCTCGTCTGGGATTGCGGTGTTGGGACTTCACCTGTTTGGGGACCGTTTGCTGGGACAGGACCGCTGCTGGTCACCAGGTGGTCAGCAACGACACTGTGCATCACTTGCTTGTCTATATTATTATTATATATATATCCATTTCTTTTTATTATTACTAAATTGTTCTTATCTCAACCCACAAGTCTCCTTCCCTTTTTCCCTTGAATTCTCTTCCCTGAGTGAGCAGCTGTGTACGTTCTCTTACTTTGCCTCCTTAGAGAGACAGCACTCTCCGGTTCTTGCCAGCACAGCTCTCAATTTCATCCCTCCCAGAGAATCTTAGACTCTCTTTCTCTTTTCAGTTTTCTTGCTCGTTCTCTCAAAGTCCACGTTATTCAGCAATACGGCAGGTTGCAAACAATCAGGCTCCTTTCATTACATAATAAATACCACACTTCCTTATCCAGCACCACCCTGTCCTTGCCAGTATTCCCTGTTAGTAAAATTCCTATTTGGCTGCCGTGCCTTGCTCCATCTTTACTCCCTGCACCTCTGTGTCTAGCGTGGCGTTACCGTAAGGAGAGCAGGGGACATGGGCATGGCAGTGCTGATGTTAACGGTGTTAACTCCTGGTCTGGAATGTCATCCCTCTCTCTGTGACACCACTTGCATCTGTTAGAAAGTTTTTCAAGATCCCTTTTTCTGCCTTAGCCAAGGAGGGAGTAAACAGGAGGCTCTCCAGCCCTCTGGTTGTTTCAAGCAGTGTTTAATACAGTAAGCATAGCAAGACGGTTTGGGATGTGTTTGGAGGTAACCTAGTGGTGATGAGGCACCATGGTGTTCATGCTCACAGAACGTACCTTGGAAACAGGAAAACTGGTCTTCTGGGGCAGCACTTCAGTTGCTAAAGGAAAATACATGGAAAAAACGTGGAGGCTTCACAGTGGTTGTGTGGATTTATGCAGGCTATGGGTCTAGCCCTTACTCTATGTATCTGCTTACTTCAGATATGTCAAAATGTACCCAACTCTGAGAACTCTGAAAACACCTTGTTGTGTTTCTGAGGATGCTCGCGCGTACCGTATCGTTTGGTGAACCACAGGGGTTACTGGAGGCTCCCCAGTGAGCAGCGCTGGTAACACCCCACCGCCACCCCTTTAACGCTGTCCTCTGCGTCCAGGTGAGCGGCCCTACTGCTGCGACCAGTGTGGCAAGCAGTTCACGCAGCTCAACGCGCTGCAGCGGCACCACCGCATCCACACCGGCGAGAAGCCCTTCATGTGCAACGCCTGCGGGCGAACCTTCACCGACAAGTCCACCCTCCGCCGGCACACGTCGGTAAGAACCCGTCAGCCTCACTGCCTTGGAGCCCCAGAGCCTTCCTCCGTGGCCACGTGTTGACATGTCAGCTTTGTCAGGCCCGGGGGGGACTTCTGTCCTGTTTTTGTTGGGTTTAGCACGTTGGTTCTCTGGCGTGGCACTAAAATACTCAAATGGATTTTGTTCAGTCCTGAGACTGTGTTTAAGCCATTCCTCATCCATGGTGGCGTGACCTGCATGTTCAGTCACAGATTTGGAGAGGGACTTTTTACAAGGGTGTGTAGTGATAGGACAAGGGGCAATGGATTTAAAGTGAAAGAGGGGAGATTTACATCAGAGGTAAGGAAGAAATTCTTCCCTCTGAGGGTGATGAGGCACTGGACCAGGTGGCCCAGAGAAGCTGTGGCTGCCCCATCCCTGGAAGTGTTCAAGGCCAGGTTGGATGAGGCTTTGGGCAACCTGGTGTAGTGGAGGGTGTCCCTGCCCATGGCAGGGGGTTGGAACTGGATGATCTTTGAGGTCCCTTCCAACCCAAACCAGTCTGTGATTCTATGATTTGTTCCTCCGAGCGTCTTCCCCTGCGAATGGCAAAGGACAGGAGAATTCATTTTCTGGGCCAGGCTTCCTGCTGGACCTGTTAGGTGCTTTGTGAAAGCAGAAAGCTCACCAGGGACACCCATTAGTGCACAGATGTATACTGACCTAGTTCTGGGATGAAAAGAGAGACCTTCCCTCCCAGCAGCAGGTGTGAGCTGGATCCAGGCTTTCGCCTCCCACACAGCCATCGTGCGTTCAACCCTCTGGGTTGTTTTTTTTTTTTCCAGATACACGATAAGAACACACCCTGGAAGTCCTTCCTCGTCATTGTGGAAGGAGCATCTAAGAACGACGAAGGTCACAAAACAGAGCTTCCCGACGAGGAGTACGACGTGTCACCTAAAATACCCGAGAAGCTGCTGTCTTTCTCGGAGAACGGCCACTATCAGAACGTCACTGCTGTCGCGGGGAGCGCGACGGCGCTGCACGACGGCGGATCTGCCACGGGAACGGACCGTAAGTCAGACAGGACCCCGGGACCCCAGGAAGCCCTTATAGCCACCACTCTGAGCGAGCTGACCGTGCTGCAGACGCAGACAGACTCCGTGCAGCCACAGCTTCACGCTCTGGTGAACATGGAATAATTCGGTTCTTTACAAATCCAGTTTAAGCCGCACCCTTTGTATAGTCCTTTGACTTTGCCAGTAACCTACTGAGGGAACTAGGAGAAGCTCTAACAAGGAAGCAGGGCTAGCCATGAGACACGCACTGGATTTCCAGAATTTCCCCCAAAAAGTCATTGCGTACCGCTCCGTCTCCTGAAACCCAGCGTTACACCACGCCAGGGTAGAGGAGGCAGAACCCCAGGAAGTTTCTTCCCTGCAAATAAAAGGGTGTCGTTTGGCTCGTTTTTCTGGCCTGCAGAGAAGGCACCTGCATCGAGATGGGTTACAAAGAAGGTGTGAGTTGGATTTGCCGGTGATTTGGTGACACACGTACAATCCAGAGAAATGACGTCGTGGTTCTCAGCCCAGTAGCTCAGTGAAATTGCATTTTCCGTAGTGGAAATTCATACGTTAAAAAAAAAAAAA